TCCTCCGGGTCTCACTCCTCCATATCCGACACAAGCCGGAGGGAAACCGGTGTCTCTCTCCCTTCTCAGGACGCCGGCTGGCTTCACCTCCTCCCAGCGCTCTTTCATGGTACACGTGGTCTCCACGTCACTCCGTCTCCTGGCACTCCGTCCAGTGACCTCCACCATCCAGACACTACCGTCAGAGAGCGTCCTATCCATCAACCCAGGACTCCACTCCTTCCTCCGGGATCACCCCTCTCACGAGCAATCCTCCGGAGAGCATCCGATCATCCCCCGCAGCTCACATGGACACCAGGTAAAGTAGGAAGGGTGGCTATTGGAGACTGCTCACATCGCACTCTCCTTCGCCGCCATGTTCAGGCTCCTCCCTCAAGCCACAATGAGGTTGTCGAATTTAAACAGGACTTGATATGACTTGCACTGTCTTCAACTCTTGGGAAGAAGGACCACAAACTGTGATTAGGCTGCCAAACACAAAATCAATAAACACAGTGCTAAAAAAAAAAAATAATAATACAAATTAATATTTCAGCTGCTTAGCCAAGAATATACAATGGCTGTGCTCTAAAAAAACATTCAATTTGACAAAACACATAGGATTGAACAAGGAATTTGAAGCGCTTGGTGCATTATTTAAATGTGATTTTTTTTTTTGTATTGTGTTCTTAATTTAGATTAATAAAAATAACTTCTGTTAGAGTTCTTATTATTTCATATAATTTAATGTGCAATACCGGATGGAATCCTAATGTCAATAGCAGTCGACACAGAGAAGAACTCTTGCTAAAGAGATCACAAAAAGCTATAATACCATTTCTGAACCGCTTGCCGTCTGGCCACAGTAGTTGTACTGGGAGTGGGCGGCAACTGCAGGCTGGGCGATGTACTGCTACGTCATAGTCTTTCTTCGGGTTTTGGGACACAAGTTTGACAGCTGATTTCAGCCAATGATTTTGGCTGAAGTCAGTTGATGGGCTGTGTCTAAGCAGAGTTCTGTGTTTACAAAACACAGAACTCTGTGTACAGGGATCAGGGAGAATAAACAGCTATACAGTAAAGTAAAAGCAGCACATATTACACACATTACGCATTGTTAGGCACACAATCAACCCCTTGATGATTGTCCTTAGATGTTAACCCCTTTCCAGGCAATGGAATTATTAGCACTGATCACTATAGTATTAGTGTCAAGTGGTTAGATAAGGGGAATTGAATTCTGGTGAGTGTCTCACCATGTGATAACGGGTATAATGCAGATTGAGTGACTGCTTGGAAGACTAACCCTCCATCCACATCAAGCCCGACTTTGAAAATCGTGCGACTTACAGTGAAGTCGCACGATTTCAAAGTCGGGGGACCTGCCGATTTCAGCTGCGATTTGCAAGACATCGGATACAGATGTCTATGCAAATCTCACCAAAAGTAGTGCATGTACTACTTTTGAAATCGGTGTGGCTCCAACCAAGTCAGAACCGCACCAATATGACCGTTCTAATTGTGGACAATAGGGTGCAACTAGGCATGCGATTTGAAAGTCACAAGGCTTGCAAATCACATGCCAAGTCGCATCCAGTGTGAACCAGGGCTAAAGGTAAGGGCTTTTAGCTTAGTGTGATTTGATTTTGCTTTTTATTTACAGAGTCTTGATTTTTATATCCCAGCCTCTCTAGCTACTGAACCTTTGGCCCTATCACAGGACTCGATGTCCAGGACATCAAGTCTTTGTGAGAGATGCCTGTTAGGATCAGTAGGCAGTAGGATACACCAGACAGGTTTATTGTACAAGCAAGTTATCTGTATCCACTCAGAGAGACACAGTCCAGGAAATACAGCAGCATATCTGAAGTTGCAAGACACAGGAGTCACAGAGGTTCTCAGGGAGCACTGGGGTTACAGGATGACACAGAATATTCTGGGGTCACTGAATGAAATGGCATGCTTTGGAATCACTGGGAGACACAGTATACTCTGGGGTCATTGAACGATGCAGTTTTTCCAAGTGATGCAGGTTACTCTGAGATGAATGGGTGACACGTTATTATTATTATACAGGATTTATATATAGCGTTAACAGTTTGCTCAGCGCTTTACAATATAGCGGGAGACAATACAGCAACAATACAGTTCAATACAAGAGGGTTAGGAGGGCCCTGCTCCTTGGAGCTTACAATCTAAGAGGGAGGGGCTAGTGGTACAAAAGGTAATAACTGTGGGGGATGGACTGGTAGGAGGAATAGAAGATTCCATTATTAGCTGAGGGCAGGATAGGCTTCCCTGAAGAGATAGGTTTTCAGAGATCGCCTAAACATGAGCAAAGTAGGCGATAGTCTGATAAATTGGGGTAGAGAGTTCCAGAGGATCGGGGAAGCTCTGGAGAAGTCCCGGAGATGAGCATGGGAGGAGGAGACAAGGGAGCTAGAGAACAGGAGATCATGCAAAGAGCGGAGAGTACGGTTTGGGCGACATTTGGAGACAAGATTGGTGATGTAATTTGGGGAACAGTTATAAATGGCTTTATATGTTATTGTAAATGTTTTGAATTCTATCAGTTGGGCAATGGGCAGCCAGTGGAGGGATTGGCAGAGAGGGGTGGCAGATATGGAATGGTTAGTAAAGTGGATGAGTCTGGCAGCAGCATTCATGATAGACTGAAGAGGGGATAGCCTTCGATGAGGTAGGCCAATGAGGAGGGACTTACAATAATCAAGGCGAGAGATAACCAGGGAGTGAATAAGTTGCTTAGTAGTTTCCGAGGTTAAGAATGGGCGTATATTGGAGATGTTGCGGAGGTGAAGTCTACAAGATTCGGACAGAGATTGGATTTGGGCTGAAAGGACAGATGGGACTCTAGGATTACATCTAGTACCCTGGCATGAGGGGAGGGACTGATGATTGTGTTATTGATCTTGATGGAGAAGTCAGGGGAGGGGGCATGGGCTGGAGGGGTGAGGTGAGGAGTAGAAAGATAGATTTGTGTGTCATCAGCATATAGATGGTACTTAAAGCCATGGGAGTTTATCAAGTGACCAAGGGAGGAGGTGTAGATGGAGAAGAGAAGGGGTCCAAGGACAGAACCTTGAGGGACCCCTACAGAAAGAGGGAGTGGGGAGGAGGAGACAGAGTTATAGGTAACGCTGAAGGACCGCTGCAATAGGTAGGAGGAGAACCAGGAGAGAGCAGAGTCTCGAAGGCCAAGAGAGTGGAGTTTTTTGAGGAGGAGGGGATGGTCAACAGTATCAAAAACCACAGAGAGGTCAAGTAGTAAGAGTACGGAGTAGTGGCCATTGGTTTTAGCAGTTAGTAGAACATTAGTGAGTTTTAGTACGGCAGTTTCAGTGGAGTGTAGTGAGCAAAAGCCAGACTACAAAGGGTCAAGAAGGTTGTTGTCAGTGAGGTAGGAGCTCAGGCGATTGTAGACTAAGCGTTCTAAGAGTTTCGAGGTAAACGGGAGCAGGGAGATGGGTCTTAAGTTGTTAGGGTTGGTGGGGTCCAGGGAGGGCTTTTAAAGTATGGGAGTGATGTGTGCATGCTTTAGAGGGGTGGGGAAGGCACCATTAGAGAGGGAGAGATTGCAGATGTGAGTGATGGAGCATAGGATAGAAGAAGAAGGTGACCGTAGTAGTTGTGAGGGGACACATGAAGTTCAGGGGTCACTGGGTGTCATAGGGTGCTGTGAGATCACGGGTGTCAAGGGAGATAGTAAAGCATACAGAGATCTCAGAGATCACTGGAGTTGATGAAGATACCAAGCTCAGGCAAAAGGAGATACTGCAGCAGGAAGGCTCCGCATAGGCATAGCTACACAGTGCTCAAACGCTAAGCCGCCGCTGTGTACTGACTGGCCATGGTGCCCATGCTTCTGGATGAACACTGGAAGTGCCACTGGCTGTACATCAGGAGACCCAGCACTGAAACAGAAAAGTGAGTGTGACATGGAGACTGAAAGGCATTAAACTACCACATTTATACCACTGATTACTTGACAATGGCAGCTGAAACTGACCTGAAAATCAGTGAAGAATCGGTCTGGGTGAAGACAGCGTTGGATACTTGGACAGGTAAGTGTCATTTCTTTTAAGTCAATAGCTACAGAATTTGTAACTGCTGACTTTTATTTTCATTTTTCAGACAGAAGATTCTCTTTACGGAGTTAAACGGTTATTGTAATAGAGCAAGGTCAGTGGTGTGGTGCCACCTAGCTCTGAAAATAAGGTATAACAGCTGGTGTTTTATAAATAAAAACCACACTGAGAAGCAAGATGCTAAGTACCAGTATATTTCTTGCATCCAATTTGCGGAAAATGAGGGCAGAAGCCCAAAAGCTTGCAAGCTTGAAAACTCACTTGTTGTGCTGTTCAAGTTTCAAACAATACAACAGCCATAGGGAAATGCTTACTTACAAATATCATTTTATAACTACAGTATATAAACGAGGGGAGATTTACGAAAACGGGTGCACACAGAATCTGATGCAGCTATGCATAGTAACCAATCAGCTTCTAGGCAGGGGTGGACTGACCATTTGGAAACTCGGGCACTGCCCCAGGGCCCGGGGTCAGTAGGGGGCCCCATGAGATGCTCCTGGTACCTTTTTCATAGGCTTTTTTGAGTTTGGGCAAGGACACAGGGACCCCATGGTCCCCTATTGCCCGGGGGCCCCATGAGTTGTCAGTCTACCCCTGCTTCTAGGTTTTATTGTCAAAGCCTAATTAACCACTAGCCTACTGGGCACTTATACCCCCTTCCTGTCCAGGCCAATTTTCAGCTTTCAGCGCTGTCACACTTTGAATGACAATTGAGTGGTCATGCAACACTGTACCCATATGAAATTTTTATATTTTTTTTTAAAACAGATAGAGCTTTCTTTTGGTGGTATTTAATCACCTCTGGGCTTTTTATTTTTTGCTAAACAAACCAAAAACAACAGAAAATTAAAAAAAACAACTTTTTTTTTAGTTTTTGTTTTAAAATTTTGTAAATAAGTGATTTTTCTCCTTCACTGATGTGCGCTAATGAGGCTGCAGTGATGGGCACTGATGAGGAGGCATTGGTAGGTAGCACTGAAAGGCAGCACTCATATATGGCACTGATAGGCGGCACTGATAGGCAGCACTGACGGGCACTGATAGGCGGCACTGATGCGCACTGATAGGCAATGCTGACTGGCACTGATAGGTGACACTGAAAGGCAGCTCAGGTGGGCACTAATATGTGGCATTGATGTGCACTGGTAGGCACAGATATGTGGCATTTATGTTGCACTGATGGGCACTGGCAGGTGGCACTGATGAGTACTGACAGCTGGCATTGATGGACACTGACAGGTGGCACTGCTGGGGCTACACTGATCATCAGTGCCCTGTGAGGAATGCTGATCACAGGCTCGCCTCTCCTCTTGAGCTGTCAGCATGACAGCTCGAGTGGAGAGAAATGCCGATATCCGGCATTTCCCTATTACATGTGATCAACTGTGATTGGACACAGCTGATCACATGACCAAGCCGACATCTTCGTCTCTTTCCGTTGATCAGTGATGCACCACCGATCGCCATGCTGCACGCTCCCTGAGCCACGCACGCGCATTTAGAGTGGGAGGATGTCATATGACGTCCTCCCAGAACGAGAGAATCGCCTTGCGCCCGTCATTGCCTTATATGGCAGGCGGGAGGCGGTTAAACAAGCTGAAATTAGAAGCCGATTGGTTACTATGCCCAGCTGCACCAGATTCCGTGTACACCAGTTTTAGTATATCTCCCCTACTGTGTTGCTTCTTAATGTGCACCCCAGCTGCTGGTAAATTTGGTCCTATTTCCCCTCTTTAGAACACAACAAAGCCAGGCACACAGCATTTTTGGCATTCTTCCTCTGACTCAAAAGACCAGTCTAGGGGTTTCTTTTATTTCCTGTGCGTTTTATTGGAGAACGATGAACTTGGATGGGGATGGGGATACCCTAGAACTGCAAAAGTGTAGAACTTGCGGACTGCTTAACTTTTGGCTGCTATGCATAAACTTCTGGATTTATTGCAAAACCTTTGGCTTCAGTGCACAACTCCTGCTGTATTTCATTTGGAAAAGAAATGTCCCACAGGATCTCTAAGCTGACTGTGAACTATACTCCTTCCAGGATGTTTCAAAGCACCACACTGTTACACTCTGCAGAACTGGGGTTTTGTGCTCACTTAGCCACAGGATCATCAGTTGCCTCCTGTTGATATCCACCTGTCTCTTTCCCAGTGAGGAAGATGTAGACTCACACCACTTCTGGACAACTTGGGCTCTCCCACAGCTTCTTCCAGGTTTCCTACCGTAAGCCTTCTGCTGACCCAAATTGATTCTTATACTAGGCCTTGTAAATAAGCCCCCCAGATAAACCAGGCTCAGACCTTAGTGTCTTCAGGCTGGCTTCCTCCTAGACCTCTGCCCCGGGGGGGGGGGGGGGGGATTGGACTCAGGAACACTGCTGCTCAGGCCTCAGACTGCTCAAAGGCTCTCTCCACCTTCTGGGCACACCCCCTAGGAATTGGCTAGAATTCCATAAATATTCAGGCTGCAGACTCTGTCCTTCCTCCCCCTATATCTAGACATCTCTAGAAGACTGGAAGTACCAGAGAAGCAGCCTGTGAAACTCTGAGCTGCCCCAAGTAATCAACCCCTGCTTCACTGATTACAGAGGAGCTGAACTAAAATTACCTAGTAGCCTACTCTAGACTAGAAGGGGGCTACATTAATAAGCAGATACATAGAAGTATCTTGAATTGAATAAATAAGGCACCTTTTCTTAAAGGATCTGAACTCAAAAAGTGAACAGTTGCTTTATTACTGTATAGGAAACAATTAGAATTGATAATTGTGTCTCAGTAGTACCATAAAAATCAATCTACCTTTTGTAATAAATTCTTTCTGAAAAACAGCAGTATACTTTCTGATGTGTGAGGGTGCCTAGGCACTCCAGTACTTACATCTTCAAGGCTATAAATTTTCAGTATGAGACCAATGACACTGTTAGTCCGAGTTTTGGAGAGAAATTTGCTGCTCACTGTTTACCTGTTTACATTGCTGAAAGCTCTGACATGAGGGAGCAAAGCCCTGCCTCAATAATCAAAATGGCCACTTTCACACAAGGCACAGTAAGTCAGTAATGGGGCAAAGACTAGCTGAAGTAGAGACCACAGGCAATACGAATAAGAAGTCCCTTCAGCACTGTATTAATATCCAGTGACAAGAAACTGTTACTACAAATAGCTGTCTCAAAAGGAAAAATCTTCCCTAACATTCAGGGTTAATCCTTGCAGAGCATATCCCTCCCTCTTGTCCCTAGTGATATGATAGTATAACAAATCTCAACAAGTGCCCTGTTTCCCACTACTTGAGGTTTCTTGAAGTGGAACTTAACTCTCTCAATTGACAATAACTATTTTTAATCTTTCTCCTGCTATCATTAGTAAATAGATAGGAAGGAATATTATATTTGTTTATACTTTTTTTTCCATTTCTTCACTTGCTTCCTGGTTTCTGGCCTTAGCCAAAATGATGATATACATCCTAGAAGTCTTCATTGCATTTTTTTCTTTCATCTGGAGGAGCAGAGGAGGGGCTTCCTCAGTTAAGCACACCCTCCTGCCTGCATGCCTGAGCTAAGGGCAGCTGGATTTCAGGAAGTAAATGCTACATGAATTAGCTGCCCTTAATCAAGATGGCTTCAGCTAGAAATGGTAGGGGGTGTTTTTCAAGGTGATTTCTCAACATAATTAAATAAAGCATGGAGACAAGGGTGGATGGGAGAGTTTGCTTTGAATATTAAAAATTAATAAATAGCATTTTCATTTTGTGGTGCACAGATACAGTTACGTTCTGCTTTCTTGTTGACAGGCGAGCATTTTGCCCACTCTGCAGTCCCTCTATCAGGGATATGCAAATCATTTCGCCCGATGCCAGAGACAAGCAGTTCCAGATGCCCGGCAGGTGGGGTTTTTTTTACATTTAGCCATGCTGCAGGCAATCAGCCACTTTAGCCTGGGTCCACGCAATTTCAATATAGGTGTGACTTTGCCGGCTCTCTCTCTCTCTCTTTCCACAACTGCCTCCCATTGATTTCAATGCAAAAACGTCTCCCGTTGACTTCAATGCAAAAATGCCTCCTGTTGACTTTAATGCAAAAACGCCTCCCAATTACGTCAATGCCAAAATGCCTCCCATTGACTTCAATGCAAAAACTCCTGTCAATAGCGATCCTATGTGATCACTTATCTCCACATGCCACTCTACTCTATCACTTGTGAGTCTAGAACGCACCACTACAAACTCGCACAGGACCCTTTTCATAATGGCACTCAAAACGCAATGCATGTGGATTGCATCTGAGTGAAGCACTTCAATATGAACACTTACTATCCAGCCTGTCATGAGAATCTGTGCATCTGAAAACGCATATGTGTGCACCAGGCCGGCAAATCGTAGGTTCTGGTGCAATTATTTTCAATGGCACCTAAAATGAGGTGCGGTTTTGCCACGATTGTCACACGGCAAATTGCATTGCATGAAACTTGTCCCCCAAAAGAAGCTCCTACTGCTTTTGGGAGACAAGCTTCACGCAATTTGAATTGCCACACAGTAAATCATACGATAATTGCCGCAAATTGCATCAGGTGAAGCTTATTGCCCAAAAGAAGCTCCTGCTCCTTTTTGGGCAACAAGCTTCACACGATGCAATTTGCCACTCATTAAATCGCGTGACAATTGCGGCAAAACCGCACCACGGTTTAGGTGCCATTGAAAATAATGACACCTGAACCTGCATTTTGTGATTATAGTGTGTTTTGAGATTGTCAGGCAGAATTGCAGCGAATCTGTTGCAATCCCAAAATGCCCAGGTGTGAAAGGGGCCTAACGGAGCTGATACTGAAGCTTTATTTGGCTGCTCAGCAACCACTAACTGAGCGTCCAAGTGTTTCTGTGTGCAAAGGTAACCTGGAGGAATTTTTTTTTTCTCATTGGGGCTAGCATCTTATTTACTCACTCAGCAGATGAGCTTCTGCTGAGCGTTAAAAGAGCCCAACACTCCCTTTTCTTGACGAGCACCTTGTGCTTGTCACACTGCAAGTTCTTTCCACTCCTTGCTAATCCCTGAGTGTGGCGCTGAAGACAGGCAGGGAGGTGAGTAGGAGCTAAATAGCGCAATGTTAAAAACATTAAAAGCCCCAGACATTCCTAAAAGCACCTCTGTCTAATAAAAAACATCAACCATTCATTTTTTTTTTTAATCAGGACAAGTAAAGTAGATTGTCAGGAGGGAAAAGTAAATTGGGATCCTGATTTAGTTCCTTGGACAAGTAGTTTTTTAAAACATTTCTTTAAAATAACTCCCAACTATCTCAGACTTTGCAGGACAGTCCCAAGACTGCTTTGTCCCGGCTTTGTTCTGACCTCCCAGCTGCAAGGACAGCCGCACTTTCCCTGTCTTTGTAGCTTTGAAAATGTACAGTACTGAATGTAAATGTGTGCACTACACTGCTAGGCCAATGACTGGACCAGCATGTGGCCCAGCAGGGTGGGGAAGGTTGCCTGTACCACTACCTTGTTGTCCAATTAGGTTAGGTTGTCCTTCAGGGATCTTCAGTGTCTCACTAGGCAGCCAGAGCTGGTAGCTGGAGCCAGGAGTGTGGCTGCCTTCTCCACTCCTCCAACAGGTTCCTTCACTCAGGCTGATTCTGCAACTGAAGAAGGGGAAAGAGGCGTAACGGACAAAGCAGCATGTAGGAGTCTTCAACCCTCTCCATTTGGTAACACTCTTCCACTATATACTGTCCTAGCCTGTTACTATGCTTACCACATCTAACACCATACTATCCAACCTCCTTTACAAATATAGGCAATAAAAAGATTGCTTACCCAAAAGGAAATAAAGGAAGTTATACAAAAACTGAGAGGGCCTGCATAAATATATGACTGGAGTACACCACAAATTACCCAAAGCACAAATACACTCACATTAACATAATACCATCAAGAAAAAAATTAAACAATTTACATGGATAGAAAATACTGGATGAATTATTGTATTGAAAAGATCAATACGTGTGTGACAGACAGTATGTCCATGGCAATAAATCTCAGTCCAAAGTGATATCTTGCAGCCCAATAAAGACTTGGGAGGTCTCCTTGACACAGTAAAGTGAACAATGTTAACAAAGGAGAGTGCACCAAATCTTCTACGTCTATGTCGCATCAAAACTAGCACTGACAAAAGCCTTGCTGTTGGGAGTAGTTCGGCTTCTACACAACCCTCCTGTTCACTGAGGCCATTGATGTGCTTGTTTCTTCTGATGCTTCTGAATGTATTATTAAATTTGTATTGATTAGCAAATACTGTAAATAACCTTTGGGGAAGTCAACAGTTAAAACAAATCATCTCTGGGCGCTAATGCTTTTCCCATCTGTAGCTAGGTTTCTCTTAGGGCTGAACCATACTTCAATTTGTATGACACTGGAAATTTTGAATCCATGGGGAA